TAAGATTGGTAATGTACATTAAGGATCTAATAGCAAAACATTCATGAGCTCATAAGGTTATTCAGTGTACATTTACCCAAGTGGGAGATTGTTGGATTAAAAATCCAATTGTGGTTTAAATGTAACTATTTGGGCTATCATTTAGATTAAGCCTATATTAAGTGATCTATTAATTTATTGGGCTTAAATGTGTTCAGTAAGTACGGGCCTCCAATGTACAGAAACCCGGTAACTTATTAATTGGGTGATGAAGCCAATTAATAATAAAGGATATAAATAGGGTTGTGATCCCAGGTCTAGACGCAACATCCATTACGTTCCATATCTCATCATGGGAGTAACGGCAGAAACCCTAGCGGTTTTCTCGGAAGGGTTTGCGCCATAGGCTTGAAGAACACAAAACCCTCCATTATTTGCATATCTGAATCCGACTATGCTGAGGAATAAGGTTAGATTTATTTCGCTTTATTTTCTTATTTCAATTATTACAACACGGTAGATCCTGGGCTTAGGGTTAAATTTCTGACAAGTTCTAACAACTCAGACAACTGTTTTGAAACCAAAACTTCATTTATGACTTGAAGACAATTGGTTGAGGCAGACCCAAACCAAATTACCAATGGGAAATGCAATTGATTGTGAAGTGCAAAAAAAAAAAAAAAATTATATGGATCTTAAAACACTTCTTGCAAATGATATAAACTTGAAGATAAACAATCCATCATAATATTACCTCTAAAACATTAGCTTTGTTGATGGAACAGAGTCCCCTACACCATTTTCAGGCCATTTCATATGCAACACGAGTAATGCGATCAACCTGAAAAACATAGAAGTTTATATCAATGTTAGTGCAAACCAAGAGATATATCTAAATCGCAATTGGTCAGAAAATAGGGGAAAAAATCTTACTTTCATTAATAAATCTATACAAATTGGAAACAAATGAGTGACTGGGAGTGCACTTGGTTGCTGCTTATGGTCAGGGAGAGGGAGAAAGAGAGATCTGAATGATGATTTTGGTAATTATTGGGGACTCCCGTTTGCGAATATATGATTCATGGTTGCATTTCTCTAATAGTTCGAGCTTTTAGGTGAGACGGTCATTCAGCATCCGACATGGTATCAGAGCCTAGGCTAGGTCTCGAGTTCGAGTCTCGCCCGTCCCTATTCTCGTGGAATCTTCGAGGAGTAAGTTTGGTCCCATGTTCGTTTGCAAGCTTGTAATTAGTTTTGTGATTCGCTTACGTAAAAAATCAAGGTATTGGACATTTCTTGTTAGTTTGCCTTTACGTTAATGACATAATTTATTTTGGATCGTCAGAGATAGATATTTTTTGTGTAAAAAGAAATATGCCGAGGATTTGTTGAAAAAGTTTAATATGATGAAGTGTGATGTATCAGCTACTTCGGTGACCATCAATGAAATATTGCAGCAAGAAGTTGGAACAAATAAGACAAATCCAACATTCTTTGGGAGTTTATTTGAAGGTTTAGATTATTTAACTCATATCATGTCTGACATTGGATTCTATGTACGTATTGTTTCCAAATTTATGCATTATCCAACAAAGCAATATTATGGAATTGCAAGGAGAATACTTTGTTATGTACCTGGAACAATCAATTTTGGAGTTTGGTACAACAAAACACAAAACTTTAGATTGAATGGTTTTTGTGACCGTGGTTTGGCAGGGTGTTTGGATGATCGTAAGAATACCTCTAGTACTATTTTTTTCTTTGATTATGGAGCTATGATGTGGAGTTCTAAGAAGCGAGAAACCGAAGCTTTGTCATCTTCAAAGGTAGAATATGTTGCAGTAACAACATCAACAAGGCAATCTTTATAGATGAGAAAATTGTTAACCAATGTTAACATAGAGCAAAAGAAAACAACACTAGTCTTTTCTGACAATAGGTTTGCTATAGCCTATAGCTATGTCCAAGAATCTTGCATTTCATGGACGAACCAAACATACTGACGTGTAACATCATTTTATTGGGTAACTTGTAGCAAAAGGCATGACTGCATTGGAGTTTTGTGGCATAAATGAGCAAGTAGCCGATATTTTGACAAACTCTCTTCCTCAAGCAAAGAATAAGTTGATCAGAACTTTAATAGGAGCATGTAAGTTTTAATCAAAGTTGAGTGTTGGTTATGATTCAAAAAATTGTGGGTATTAAAGAGAAAAAATAGATGATACGGGTGTTTATTTTATATTTATAATACCTTTAAATTACTTTTTATTATTGTCTAAAAAAAATTGGTAGAATTTACTTTAAATATGATGTATTTTATATTGTTGTGTGAAATAAAAAGAAATATAACTGTATGCTTGCTTAGATCTAGATAATCCTTTGGACCAAAAAATGACCAATCAAAATTTAGCATTGTTACTTAGACTTTGGGAAAAGAGTGCAATGGTTTAAAAAATAAGAGGAAGAATTATATAGTTTCTAAAGCAAATAAAAGAATAAACAAAAGTTTTAAAACTATAAATGAATTATAAACAATTTTATTCAATATCTCTTTAATTATATCTCTACTTTATGTTGTTTCAAAAAATTTATTGAAAAACATGTTCATATTCTTGTACCTGGTATTTTTTTTCTTTGAAAAAACATTAACATCATACATTTAAAAAAAGAAAAATATCTTGTCATTTGTCTTGAAACAGCAATAATCATGTTAAATATAATTCTTCAAATAATAGCGTACAAAGAATAAAATAAATTACATTAGGCGAATCATGTGTGACATACTAGATCAATATCTCATGATCACGAGGTCACTCCTCACACCATTAAATAACCTTTTACGGGGTCAAGTAAAAAAATCCTTGTATTTTTTTTTTTAATGAGGTCAGAATCCATAGTTGCTATCCTTTGAGTGAGTTATGGGTAAATTTTCAGTTGAACTTAATAACCTGCATATTAGGTCGACAAAGCAAGTCATATTAGGCAAACCATATGTAACAAACAAGACCAAGTGACCTTGAGGGGATTTGAATAAATGACAAAATACTCTATTAGTTTAAGTGAAAAATGAACAACTGCGATGCAATTGATAGCCTTCACAATTCATTATAAGAAACCTTAAAATTTTTACAAGGTTACCGTATATTTCAAAAATTGATTTGAAATAGAAAGCACTAAAATATTTGTACTTGTTTTGACATTATAAGTTTTTCAGATATTACCCTTCAATTTTTTTATACGAGCAAGATTCACAAATTTTCAAACTATTTAAAATATCTTTGCAAATTATTTTTAAAGTTAATATACCTTTTGATGACCTTCCTTGTTTATATTTTCATTCGATCACATCTAATATTAGTACAAAAAATATAATAAGACTCCCTTCATCGGGTAATTTTAGCACATTTAGGGTTGGTGGGGCTTAAAAAATTAATAAAAATATAAAGACAGTTGGATAGAAGTATATATAAAAATTTAATGAGAATAAAGAGAAAAAATTTGAATGATGTGTAATAATGATAGTAAATTTGTTTTTAATAAATGTTGAAAGATAAATAATAGTTAAATGTTGATATTTTGAATTTATCAAAATTAGTAATAGTGTAAATTTAACGGAAAAATAAAAATAAATTTAGCGAATGGAGTATTATATTCAACATGTAGATCCATTGTTAAAAATATATTTGGTTGAAATTAATCGACCATCATATCCCAAAAAATCATCTGTTAATATTTTTAAAATGAAAAGCCTCCAATAATATTGGGTATATTTTGGGAAGTTTTGCTCAATAATAACAGAGTTAATAGTTTGTTGACCTTTATTTTAAAAAATATCTGAATAATTCTAATGCGCTAATAATATTATATCTGACTTTTTCTATTTTAACAAAGTCTAATCTGTAGAAGGACGAAAATTTGATAATCGATAGATCATCACTTCTCATATCCTATAAGACAAATAATCAAATAGAATTGGCAATAGATCGATTCGTGTCGGGTTGAATACTTTAAATGTGTTAAATTACTCAATTCTAACCCGACCCATCTATGATCGTGTCGGGTTCGTGTTGACCCGTTTATTGACTCGTGTTGACTCGTATACATGATTAAGTCGAATTTCTTGATTCAAATTAAATAATTTTTTGTTATGTTAGTTTTTATTGGTTTGAGCTTAAATTAGGTTGAATTATTTAAAATTTAACTTGGTTTAAATTAATTTATGAGAAAATTATTAAATTATGATTATTTTACATATATAATAAATATATTAATCAATATTAATATATTATAATCGGGTTGTCGTGTCGGGTTCGAGTTGAGAGCCACAATCCTAACCCGACCTGTTTACTATCGTGTCATGTTTGTGTCAACCCATATACATAATTGGATTGAAATCTTTGACCCAAACCCAATTATTTCATGTCGGGTCGTGTCGAGTCAATTTTTGCCAACTCTATAATCAAACATGTGGATTCATAAAAGAGTATATAGGCAAAAGATGAAAAATAAAATTTCAAAAAAATAAAAAAGGGCAAATTATATTCAACTCTAGTCCCATTGTAACATAGGGTACAAATACAATCAACCATACCCATTATAACAAGAATCCAAAACAAAATTATAAGATTATGCCAATGCTTGATATATTTATCATACTTACAACCAAATATCAAATCATTTATAGTTTAACATACAATGGAATAAATTTTCTAGAGATTCACAAAATAAACAGTATCAAATTTTGCTGAAGTATTAACTATTTAAGAAGATAGCCAAAAATATATTTGGTTGAAATTAATCACCCATCATATTCGAAATATTAAATAAAAAGCCTCCATCAATTTTGAGTGGGAGTTTTTGTAAGTAATAACAGAGTCGAATGGCTTTAAATACATGTATTTGTCTAAGTGAATATATGGAATGAAAAAGCAATTAGATTCCATTACTCTTTCCCTTAACGTAGACAGAGTCACACATGATACGTACATCTGCATACCTTCACATATTGAAATATAAAATGCTAATCAAAAGTAAAAATCATTAATATTATTGATAGATATATTGCATCAATTTCACAACAATCCGTCCATTTGTTTTGCTATTTTGTATGATCAAATACAACCCAAAACACAAATACAAGCAACGCAGGTCAGTCAAAATAGAAAAGACCATCCATCCATGGCTCATATCGACTCTTCACAGGCCAAACAAGACAACATTATTGATTCATATACAATATCATGTTACAGACATGATCAGGATCAGCTACATAAATGTAATGCTACCTGGAGTAGATGAATGGACTTAAACTTATCCAAGCAGCAAGGAGAGGTACAACAAAATCCATGCTTAGGGTGGAGGAATCTTGATTTTAGTCGGGATTTATTGCAGCAATTGTTGCGCAGCATCCGGAAGCCCACTCTTTTCATAGCTTAAGAAGGCTCCCATTGCTCCCAGGAATCCTTCGTGTCGAAGAAACATGGCTTTAGCTTCCCCTTTTGACCTGGCAAAAACGAGTTCAATTGTTAATATGATTTCCTTCTTATAATGCACCATAAAATTCATAGTGTGTGACACGATATGGATAACAAACGAAATTTCAATGTTGAAGACGTGACAGAGGATGGATACCAGAAATCAACTGCCACAGATATTGTATCCATTGTGTAAGGATGCCCGCGAATAAAGAACCCTCCAAAAAAAATTCTCTTGAGCCCAAATTGAAGAGCATTCAAGTAAGCTATCTGAGAAAAACATAAGGTGGAAGTGAGCAAAGGAAAATCAGTCGGGGAAAACAACATAGATAAGATGTAAGCATCACCTGCCCAATATTATTTGAAATCATTCTTAACAGAGATCTTGCAATATCTTCAGATTTATAATCTTGTAGCTCTTTGCTGTCAGATACTGGCTTACCAAAGCTAGAAGCAATTGCCGTTGATGTAAGACCAATCTGGTCACAAAACAACTAAGTATCACAAAATAGTTTCAACGTTGTATTCTTAAACTCACACACATATTAATAGGCTGTGCAGCAAAATAATTCAAATGATAAGACTACTATTTCCAGTATACAGGTTGGCAATTCAATAGTTTGAGTCCTAAGTTTCCAACATGCAGTCAAACTACCTACTTATTGAAGCACTTTCCAACCTCCATAAGTACCATGAATAATATGAATAAAAATTGTATCTTGAGTTCATTACCTTTGAATAATCCATTCCACCGTATATATCCCCAACAAGCATATCTATCACTCTGTTGTTCCCCTCACGACTTAGCTCCAACAACTCATCAAAACTGAATAAGAGATATAGAAAGCTTATGGAAATATTCTTTCAACATAGCACGCATTTCTCCAATGATGACTGGATCAGTGGATATGGTAAACATTTAGGTAAAAGAGACAAAATAAGCAACCTTTTGCACTTGGTTAGAAGTTTCCCCAAACCCCAGAATGTACCACCTCCAATGCTTGTTCCACTAACTCGCTGAAACTTGGTGTTGCCATCTACCTAAGCAAACAAAAGGTGAGATAATGACGGAAATAAAAGAGAACAGCAGAATAATTGATAAACAATATACTTTACAATTTGCAGAAGAAATGGATACCCTCATTATAAACACAACGTAAGGTGAATTTCTAATATGATATAGAGGATAAGAGGTGGGCATTGTTGTGTTTTCATGTCAATCCCTCCAATAGCCCATTGAGCTTTTTTTATTGGATTTTGAGACAAATGAACAATTTTCTATCATATTGCTTTCATTTTATATATACATATATATGTGGAGTGAAGATTGGTATGGAAATATTACCTTGATCATGCTAACTCCGGACCCAATATTAACAAGGAGATAAGGATATAAATCTTTTTGGTCAATCTGGACATACTCCTTTCGCCCCTCTATATATGTAAATGCTTCTTGGTGCACTGTCTAGAAAATTACAACGAAAACTCTTGATAAACAAGCAAAAGGGTATAGGATGAGGAATCAAATATGAAGGAGGAAGGAGGAGGAAAGATTCTTTCAATCCAAAAAACAAAACCCATCCAGAAGCATAATTGTAAGAGATGGGCATTTTCAATCATAATTAGCCATATTGAAAAATAATAGTAAACACAGTTTCATCAACATCTTTGATGTAAATATCAAACACATATTTGAGTCACTTGGGATGGTAAATGGATCTCAACAAAGGATCACAATGACTTCAATCAACAGCCATATCGCTGTCTAAGAAAGAAATCACAATAAACAAAGAAGAATTTTAGCAGATATCGATTACTCAATTACCATCTTGATACTAAAACAATGCAAGTAAACAAATGCAAGTGCAGCACAGCGTTCTTCAGATACTTGAACGATATTACCTATGGTGTACACTTGGTAACTGCTAATATCCAGACCAGTAAAACAGAAGAAACTTGAAATATTAAACACCATAGCACAAAGGCTTTGATTGTCAAATGGGAAGAGCATACTTGCTGAATTTTTAGATATTATCAATTACTCAATTATTATGTTCAAAGATATAGAATCCGGTCATATTTAGACAGAAATGGAAATATAGATAGAGTAATTCATTAAAACTCGCTAAAGGAATGGAATTTTTTACTGAAGATTAATTACCAATTTATTACAATTTTTGTTCTACTTCTAACTATAACGAATATGGCAACTACAGATATGATGCCACAAATCAAATGATATAAATTACCATCAATTTGAATCCGCAAAAAGCTGGGGGATGGGGGCAGGGAGACCAGATGATTTAATAATAGTGGGCGGCAAAGTGACTTTGTCAAATACAATAAAGGAGCTAAAAATAAATGTCGTGATAAAGAACATTCAGTGTTCTTTTAAGTTTAAATGCGCAAGTAAGATATCCAAATCATTAACAACTTTCTAAAGCAGTACTACTTATATATGCATAAATAACATATAAATTAGCATCAATTTGAATCAGCAAAAAGCTGGGGGGTGAGGCAGGGAGACCAGATGATTTAATAATAGTGGCGGCAAAGTGACGTTGTCAAATACAATAAAGGAGCTAGAAATAAATGTCGCGATAAAAAGAACATTTAGTGTCTTTTATGTTTAAATGCGCAAGTAAGATATCCAAATCATTATAACGACTTTCTAAAGCAGTAATATTAATATATGCATAAATAAGAGCTGGAGAACTGGCTCTATAGAAGGAAAATTCCCACCTTAAGCAAACAATTTGCTCCTGATACAAGGGAATCCATTTCGTCTACCTTGTCCAGTGTAGCTCCCAGCTTCTCCTTGAACAAATTTGTAAATTTAAATGCACCACCACCTGTGGCCTTCATCAAAATGTAATAGACATTTAGTTTCCTCAAACACCTCAATTACAATGATTCGCTAATAGGTGATGATTCTTGAATCATGTTAATAAAAAGTAAATCACTTTATGAATAATTAATTCACATCACCCAAAACTACGGACCAAGTGCACAAATAAAATCAAACAAAAATCAATAGTACCTTAATGATATTTTTGTCATCAATAGAAGCCCCATTACATTGATGACCTAGATACAGAGGACAAATTATACAAATTAAGGAAACATATTACATGCAGTATCTCGTGACGTACATATATATACATATAATCAGAGAATAGCATACCGGAGCGTTGAAGCAGCTTGGACGATATAAAATCAATGCATTCGCTGATCTTACTAGTCTCAATCCTGTAAAAATGAAGCCTCCCATCCAGAAGGCTGTGGTGAAGGTCGTCATTAGAAGTAGTTAATCCGTTCATCGAAGAACCATCCGCCTCCTGATCAAAAGACCTACTGCTGTTTCTTGTAAAGTACACCATCTTAAGCAGGGAACCTGATGGCAAGAGGCATGGGACGTATGAGAGTACATATTAATGCAATTGCCATACATCACACAAACAACAGTAGAGAATTACATCTGATCAAAATAAAAACAGTAGAGAATTACAGTTTCATATAACGAATTTACAAACTAGAAGATAGATAAATTAACATCCAAAGGGCAATTACTTACTTCTCCGAATTAGAAAAGAAATCGAAAGGGACAGACACATATATCACGGTAAAACCCCAAAATTCAGAACCCTAAAAATCCAGAAATTAGGGAACAGAATCGACGAATTACCTCCAATATCAAGAGCAAGGTGTGAAGCGGCGCATAATTCATTCTCCTCCAATTTCGAGTCCTTCTCCATGTCTCGCCTTCCTCGAATCCAATTGTCAATCGACGGTCTCTGGTTCTCAGTTCTTGACACACCCCATAGGCAAGGAGTGTATTATTAATATAGGGTGTCCAAAACAATGAGTCAAAGTTGTGTCCTAAGTTGGAAAAAGGGCAGGCGCCCGCCAATCAGATTACCCAAATTGGAATTGATTTTGACACGACGAATTTATCTGAATAGGTTTCGAATGTAAATTGAGAAAACGAATAACAAAGGCCTGTACTGTGTTACATCTGGATCATCCAAGCCGGGCTACCAAATCGAATCCGGGTTATAGTAACAATTATAAGTGTATTTTTTTATTTTGGTTGGTGACATCCCAAAGTATATATTATAGTAATAAATTATATATTCTTTTTTGGTCAGTTTCATCAAAAATATTTATTTATTTTTAGTAATTATATCATTTACTTAATATTAAAAATACAATAATTTAAATTATATTATACAAATAGTTTCTTTTAATTTTACTATATAATAATATTATACTAATATTAAAAGATTTATTTGAAAAACCAACCTGATAGTTATTTATTGTAATAATATTTTCTTGATTGGTTGAAGTGTGTAAAATATTATTAATATTTTTGCACTTACAATGGCTGAACCTTAATTTTGGATCATTGGATTTGACTCAGAATTTAAAATATTGCGGTGAAAATAAAGATGGTCTCACTAAAGGCGAGGCCCAATGTAGAGCAACTCGTAGGTGGTTGATCGGCTCATCTTCAATTCGGCTAATCTATGCGACTTAAGGGAAATTTAGACGGTAGTATTTGGGCTAGTTGACCCATAGTAGCCAAACAAGTGAATTCGGTTCGTTTTAGCATTTTGAGCTTGTGATGTCCGTTACAACTACCTCTCTAAATACGTGGGCTATGAAGCAAAAAACTGTAAGCGATTGACACACGATCAACCTAACCGAACGATGGAAGTTGCACGACAGTTCTAGAAAAATGTATTTATGGTATACTGACGATGGGAGAAAAGATCTTCAATTAGACAGAATTTTATAAGGAATTCATTGGGGGTCACTATTTTTACTTTTCTTGTGCATTTTCTACTTATCTATTTAATTGCTAATTACGGTGCTTAGAGATCTACTTTCCCAGGCCCAATAAATCAAGTTCGAAATCATCTTCGAAATTTACTTTTATTTTGTTGAAAAAAATCAGTGCAACAAATTGGTGACCGTAATGGTAAGCAAGCCAAAATTGTTGATCCTACGTCCGATGAAAGCTTTATACGATTAAGATCCGGACGAATTATCAGAAAGATCCATATCGCAGGATCTAAGTCCCAGACATCCAACGTCTCCACTGAAGCACTTACTTCGGGGATACCCACTTAGGCCATACCTACTGCAGGATAAGCAGCTACTATGCCGGCCAAATGGATGACGTATGTCAACAAATAAATAGTCAACAAACAACCACCACGCAGGCTATGTTGCACGATCAACAAAACGTGTTGTAGAATATGCTCGAGCAAGCGCTTTCAAGAGTCACATTATAGTATGTTGCCACGCTTCCAAGAAGCTCACTCTCGCGACTATATGAACATTTCGTCGGTCCATCCTATGTGGAAAATAGCATTATGAGTGGTACTGCGCCCAATAGGGCAGACATAAGAGAGACTCTTGTCACATACCCTAATAATATACCATTGGGGACGAGATCAGATGGGATCCCTTCGATATTTGGACAAGAAGATAGGTTTGGGGGACAGACCCATGACCTCATCCACATTTCTAACCACCCACCATTAAGGGTGGATCTTGAAGAGGTTGCACAACTTCTAGGGGTGCATTTTGGGATGAACCCACAAATGACAAACCGACCATTATATCAGAGGTCATTCTGAAAGAGGATTATCAATGAACATCCTCTTCCAAAGAATTATCAACCTCCTAACTTTCATATATTTTCCGGAGAGGACAGTGCCTCTAATATAAGAACGTGGGCATGTTTACTGCCTAATTGGGTGAAATTAGGAGCAACCCTTATTTCAAACTTCGGCTCATTGCTAACCAAGACAACATTTTTTTGGTTTGCCAATCTGCAGTCTGGGCATATACAAACTTGAGAATGGTTAGTGGCATACGGTTTTTAATTCCATTTCAATGGTTTCTCTCACCGATTTTTTGGAAACAAGATAGATGCCAGGGGAGTGCGCCTCCCAGTTCATCGAGTGAATTGGGCTCATAAAGGGGCGATGTTCGACTGCCATCGACGAGGGGTAGATGATCAACTTAGTGGTCCAAAGTATACATGCCCACTTGCAAAACCCTCACTGCTTATGACATTGAGAGTTTGGCTCAATTGGCTTATAAAATGAGCTGATTATAGTCAATATTTAAGGAAAAATATCAAAATTTTAGAAGAAATAAAATACAACAGATAGCTAGCATAGAGTCTGAGATATACATGCCGAATTCGGACCATTCAGGAGAAATAGAAAAAAATGGTGGTTGAAATAGTAGAAGGCAAGCCATATGTATGCTCCAAACTTAGGCCTATCCCAGGGACAGATGATAATACGGATCAACCCACGTTTGAAACATTCAAGGTGGAGAAGATCTTTGACATATTGTTAACATATGACCAAATTTAGATACCGGAAGGACAACGGTTGGCAACCACGGAGGAATCAAGGGGAAATTTTATTTTAAATAGCATAATTCATTCAGTCACAATATAAGTCAGTGTACTCATTTTCGGAAGGAAATATGAAAACTATAAAATGAAGCCAAATGAAGTACATTACGTTGGGAGTAGAGCAACAACTTTTTTTTCAAAAATTGACAGTGGCATCAATGGCCACTAGGCCGGGTCAGAGAAGTTGAAGGGTCAGTGATCAAGGGTCACATGAAAAAGGAAAGACTTAAGAGCTAAAGACATACAAAGCTCGAATGGCCGAAAAATGGGACCTACTAGACTATAAAGTGGAACTCAAAGATGGGACATTAGTGCCTATGTGCAGGTTACATCCACGGATATTGATAAGTGGAGTCGAAATAAGAAGCCTTTGCCCACCAATATTAATCCCAGATTTCTAAATTTGAATCGTGCCTATATTTGGAGCATCAAATGTTGATATGTTGTTATGTAGGTTTGTTGGTTGGCCCAGAGTACAATTGTTGGTCAAAAAGGCAGAGTCCTGAGGCTCGGCCTGAATTTGAAGTCTCATTGGATACACAAAATGATCGAAAAACGATCAGGATGACTGGAATTAACAAACTACAAGATTAGAAAATAGAAGATTTTGAGAGTCCTTGGGAAGTCTCCTTCGGTTCCTTCTCTTCATCTGAAGTGAAGTCTTTGATGAGGCACCAGGAAATTGGCCTAGGTATGCAAAGTAAAGATATTATGAGTCCGTCAAAAGACATGCTATACCTTTTTTAGGTCAAGATGTCAAGATCAAACCTCTTTGAGAATAAGCCATTCAGGCTTGTTTCAAAGATGAGACTATGGAAGAATTGAAATGGGCATCTTTGGCACTCTTGGAGCCAGATTCGGATACACCACCACCAGTGGTGTTTGTCCCTATTCCCGAATGGGTAATTCCATTGCTCACGCCCCTCTATGTGAATACTCACATTTGAGGAAAGCTAATTGACTATGTGTTTATTAAAAATGGAACAATTTTCAATATTATGTCACTAAAAAAACTCAAGAAGTTGGGTAAGGAAGTGTCCGATTTGACCCCGGTAGACATTGAAATGGGTCAATCAAGGTGGGACCAAAGATAGTCTTCACTATTTTTTTATTGTGAACGCAGGCACAATGTATTCGATGTTATCAAGAAGGAATTAGATTCATGTTGCATAATGTGTGATATCTTCGTTGTACAAATAATTGATATTTTGGGAAGACTCAAGTATTCAAAATGAACGCAAATGCCAATCCATTTTGCCCTTCTTGCGCCATGTAGGAGCCAATGTTTGGGCCATATCCCACCGATTTCACAGAAAACATTAGTAAACGAATATCCATGGCGAAGCTGCAGCTCACCAGACAAGGGTATTTGTTCTTTAAAACCAAAACAAACTGCTCTCCATGCTTGATATTTAACGACCTTTTATCGACTATTATGTTGATATGATTGATGCACATATTGATGAATGTAGCATTATAATAAATACTTACTATTTTAATCAACTATTATATCGGTGGCAGAATATAGGTTTCAAAGTTAAGATATCTAGCGGAAAAAGTCAATTCAATTTACATGGTCTAACCTCTTGGAAAAACAAAGTCATTTTTTTTGCCCAAGACCCTTTGATCGAATATCAACAACTAAATATATTCAACTTATATTTTATTTTTCGTATTTATTTTTGGAAGGTGTTTTATGTAAAATGTTATTTAAATTTAAAATTTTATGTCACGTCATATTTTTATTATTTAATTACGTTTAAATTATTATATTTAATTATTATTTTACAATTGATAAAATAAAAATTTTTTGAAATCAATTTCAAAATATAAAATATTCAGCATAAAAAGTAAATTTTTTCAATTTTTATTTTAATATTTCACTGAAACAATACACTGCAAATATTGCACAAATTAATCAAACTAATTAACTATCTAACATATTATATTTCTTAAATTTTATGAAAAAAAAAAAAAAAAAAGGCAAAGTAGAGTAATTTTAGGGACGGAGGAGGGGGTATAATGTTAACTATATAAAAGTAATTCTTTTTTGGGTAAATTCCACTCATCCACCCTGTGTTTTAATGTAAAAGCATAAAACACCTTGCATTTTGAAAATAGCATCAGTAGTACTTGTGTTTTGTAAAGCAAAGCAAAAAATACCCAATCGCAGTTAATTAACGCTAAGTGCAACCCACGCGCTTTATATGCGAGTTTTCCTCTAAGAAATAGCAATATGCAATTTGAAATTACTTAAATAACCCTACCTCTTCTATTGAAATATCATTTCTTCAAAATTGTGAATAACCCTTCTTCTTCGACGGGTAACGACCTGCTTCTGCAATCGCCGATAGCTTCTACAATCGGTGGCTAGTCCAAGCAAGGGGTAACTTTTCATTATAAACGTAAGCTTCTTGTAACAGTCGATTTTGCATTTTGTGAAAGTATGAGATTGGGTAAACCGAA